GGGGGGGGACCCCCCCGCCTCCCGCCTCTCCCGCCCGCCCGCCGGGCCCCGTGGCCGCCGCGCCTCGGGGCTCACCTCATGGCGGTGATTTCCCCTCAGGGCAGCGGGACGCGCGCCATGGAGGTTTCTGGAAGGCGGCGGGCGGCAGAGCCTTCCCTCCCTTTCCAGTCCCTCAAGGGGAGCTTGCCCCCCAGCCGGCCTCGGGAAGGAGGTTTCCCCTCCTCAGGTTGTGAGGAAAAGCGGCCTGGGCGCTACTCTTCTCTGCCTTCTGAGTCTACCAAAGCCATTGGTGAGAGAAAGGTGAGGGTGGCAAATTTTTTAAACCTTTTTTTTTTTAAATTTCCCTCCCCCCCACCCCTAAATCTTCAGTGCGAACAAAGTTGACCACAAACTCCAGGCTTGAGGCCAGGCACCAGTTTAACAGCCCAGTCCCCGGCCCGGTTCCTGTTTGGACTGGTGACTAAACGGTTGGTCAGGTTGCTGGGTATGTGTTAGTTAAAAGGGCTTTTTTTCTACCTTTGAATCTACAATTAAATCTGGAATGAAAGCCTAATGAAAAGGTCCGGCAAAACACATGCTTTTATATTCTAGGCAGTTTATAATCCCTATTCCCACCTCTGGACCATCCATTTGATGTAATCTGAGCTGCCAAAGGTCCTTGCACCAGAGTTTGAGTGCTTTATTTAAAATAATAATAAAGGGAATCTGCTGCCTGGCTGGTTAAACAGGCCAGAATGTTTTGTAAACCTAGGCCTATGGGGCTGCTGGAAAGCTTTTCCATGAGCATCACCTTGTCCTAAGCTAATAAAAACAATGGTAAAAAGGTTAGATTGTCCAGAAGAAGTTGTTGAGGAGAAAACTCTTGAGGAAGCAGAGTTGTCATTATGTTTGATGCTACCTGTCCATGAGACCTGTTCCCCCCATACCCTCTGACTGTTATCCATGTCTAATATCACTGCAGAGCAGCAATACTTTAATCATTAAATTTCATGGTTTTTAAGAGGTTTCATGCTGTCCTGAATAGCTACATGCCATAGGCTTGATAAATTGTGAATACCTTCTAGGGTGAAATAATTTCTATTAGGCATCTGCACCTCATGATATTAGAGTCCTTAGCGTGCCCTGCCAAAAGACAGTATAATAGTTGTAGTTAACAAATACGTAAATATTTTTCATAACTGTAGTGAAGTAGTATTTATGTAACCTGAGGCAATTACACACCTATTTTGTTTGTTCTAGAAAGCAAAGTGTATACTGTTTGTTCATTTTCTGTTGAGGATTTGATAAGCTTGCATAAGATATCTGAAGTTAGATAGACATAAATTAATTAGTAGTGAGGTCTTAGCTGTAAAAATCCTCCTTTGAGTGTTGTTTATTTTGCATTAATACATTTGTACAGCTAATGACTTTCTTTGAAATACTTAATGTACTTCTAGTCAATTTTACTTGAAGATTTTTTGAAATAAGAGTAGCTTGAAGATGAAAAGACGGATTTGATAGGAATGGATATGGATAAATCCTACCTTTGTACATTTAAATTAGGCTGTACAGCTATTTCCTTTTCATGTTTCTCATAGGTCTCTGGTTCTCCATAAAGAGAAAAGGAAAAACATCTGTCAGTTTGGTAACGTCTCTGGGAGGTGCTGTTACTGTTCCAAAAGGCTATTGGGACTGTAAGATTTCCTGCAGGTTCTGACATCTCAGCATAACATCCTGGTCACTTGGAGTGACATCCATGGTACAGCCATCAGTGGTCTTCAGCTTTCATCAAGGTAGTAAACAACCCCCTTAGGGATGTCAGCAGAGTGCACTCTTGAATCTCTTCCTGTCTTCCTGATACTCAGGCAAAAAAACCTCTGTCTTCTGAATGTGATATATAATGTGACAACCCTCCAGCCTAAGGTTTATCAGTATAAAAGATATCTTCATGGAATGTTATGTACGAATAAACAAAACGATACATTATGTATTGTCAGCACACAAAAAGCATACTAGTTCATATGTCAAGAATGCACAGCAGATAGATACCTAACTTGAAACTTTTAGGTCGTTACTTACAGCATGACAGATTTTAGACTTTATGTGAAATCTGATTTTAAAATATAGGACTAAAAAGAAAGCCGGGTATCCAAAATAGTCACTCTTTCTGTTTTGTCAGCTGGATTAATTGATTTTTAAAAAGAGTGTGGCTACAGCATTTAGCAATTGAAATTTATGCTGAATCGTGAAACGATCAGTCATCCCAGTGAAAATGCATTTTAAAGCAGAAATGTTAACAGATCCTGCACTAGCAAAGGTAGCAGCTAGTGCTTAAATATTAAGGCAAGTCCAATACAGCACCAAAGTAAAAAGCACAGCACCAAAGGACACGTTTACAGTTGCAGGTAGCTTGTTTTTCCTTTTCTGTCTATGGATGAAGGGTAAGTTCCTAGAAGGCAGTACAGCCGTATATTTAGGCTGTGAGCAAATAAAGCTCTTGTGCAGGGTGAGATTTATTTTTCTGTCCATTTATTTTTCAATGAAGAAATTCTTCGTTGGATGTGTTGATGTCATTACATTGAAAGGGTTCATTAGGCAAGTGTGAAGCTCCCCTAGCCCTTAGGCTGTTGCTACTATAGAGCAGTACTGCAACTGCCCAGTGGTCTGTGCAGAAGGATCCTTTCCTCTTTGCAGGACACCTGATTTCTCCTTTTATTCTTGGCTAGCCCTGGAGAATGGTGCACATCTTTTATGATTTGTCACCGTATAGGGTTTTTATAGGTACAGGAGGAGTATTTATGTACTGTGTTCATTTGGTTCCGTATTTACCTATCAGTACATGGTCATGTTCATTTGCATCATGTTTCACTGAGGATCTGAAACTAAGACATGTATTTACATCACTTTGTTAAGCTGTGCAATGACCTTCAGACCAAGGCAGATAGCACTATTTCTGTTTTACATAGTGATAAATGCTGGTACCTGAAATATAGAATGGTTAAGTCAGGTTCCAGGTTCTGGAACCTTACTCCTGGAACCTGAAAAAATACAGGAGTTTTAATTACCCTGGCCCAGTTTACCTCACGGCTACAGACCATCAATCCCAACAATATTATGGATTATGTGACATCAACTTTGTTTTGTTCACATTTTCATGCTATTTAAGGCATTCTGTGCCATGCATCTTTAGAAGTCATCTTTTTATATTGATTCTTTTATTTGGCACACTGCCACCCAGCTGCATTCTTCCCTCAACAGTTCCGTAGTTAGTGTGATGGTAGGACATTTGACAGGTAGGATTTACTTGGGTTCGTGTGAAATATTCTTCATTAGTCAAGTCACTGATGGGAAGAAGGGACAAAAATAGGAAAACAGTATTATTATTACTGTTACAATACATACAGTGAAAATTGACTTATCCATATAATTTTGAAGCAAATGCTGACACGTACATTATTTTTAGCCTCAAAATATCTGATAATGAAGCATGCAACATTAGTGGAAAAGTCAGGATTACCCAGGCACATTTTAATAGGTAGGCATAAGGGAAAAGAAACAAGGAAAAAATACAAATACATAGGATGCAAATATACTAAATGTTTGTTTGAAAGGAATGAAAGCTGACCATTACAGTAATTCTCTGTTTAGGAAATAAAATCCATGTGTTAGACTGAAGATGTGGAAATAAGCTATATGAAAAGAACCTTCTATTCTTTTGAGTTGGGGTGGATGTGACATCATTTAGGGAATTGCAGCCAGGCTGCAAAAGCATTAAGTGGATGTTTCACCAACATAGGAACTATGTGCTTCAAAAAATACTTTAAATGATGCTTTTTAACTCTGGCATTTACTGGTCTTTTACTATCCTTCTATGTCTCACATAAATCCAAAAGAAGCAAGAGGAGAACATGTAAGCTATGTCTAAAGGTACATAAAGAATGGTAAGGCATTAGATAAGGAGTAATATCTTTTATCAGAACAATTAGTAGTTGAAAACAGATGAGCTTTCTTTCCAGCTCGTCAGTCTTTTTTCACAAGCGATATGTAACTGCCCATTCAAAGCTTGTCTCCCGTGTAGCCCTCGAGAATCATCAACAGGTACAGTAGAGTTTTGTAAGAACTGTGACACAGTGCCACTGTGCCACAGGAGTGCAGCAGCCAGGCAGGTCACACCAACTGGAGCCGCCTTCTAGTCAAGTGTTTATATTATAGTCTTAACTGCGCCTTCTGATAGTCAGTAAATCATTGCAACAGGTCTCTGAACTGATTTGTTCTCTTTTGACATCTGCAGAAAAACACATAGTACGTTTGAACCCAAATGCAAGTGGGCTCAAGTCTTTCTCAGAAAAGACTGAAAGAAGGATGTGAATTTTGGAAGGGAGATTTAGATTAGATATTAGGAAGAAATTCTTTACTGCGAAGGTGGTGAGGCACTGGAAGAGGTTGCCCAGAGAAGTGATGGATGCCCCATCCTTGGAAGTGTTCAAGACCAGGCTGGATGGGGCTTTGAGCAACCTGGTCTAGCGGGAGGTGTCCCTGCTCATGGCAGGGGAGTTGGAACAAGATGGTCTTTTAAGGTCCCTTCCAACCCAAACCATTCTATGATTCTATGCGTTGTGATGGATGAATCCCTTCAACCATTTCCTGAATTGCGCAGTCTTGGGACTCTAACTTTTTCACCCCACAAAAGTAATCAATTGCTACTTGTTATATATAATAGATGGTGTCAGAGCTAAACATTTAAAAATGCATTACTGTATATTATAGCACAGTAGTAAGTCCAGAAAGTACTGCATTCTGTGGTGCTTGTCAGTGGGACTTTGAGGAAGGTCTCCAAAATGTTGTTCACTTAATGCAACACAAGTTCAGCACTCCCATGGAAAGTCCCCTCCACATCGGTGAGCAAGTTAACTCCAGTTCACAGAGGGTTGCAGGGCTTTTTTTAACTTAACACTTGTAAAACATAAAGCCTTTGAATATGTGTGTGTGGAGATGCATGATGCATTTCTGTGTCCTCTACATGCTGTGGTGATCTGCATTCTTCTCTGGGTAAAAAGACAGGAGTTGATACATACCATGTGCATGCATAGAGTCATTTCTTAATTTAGCAGCTTATACAGAAATTCTGTCCAATTCTTTTCATCCTTCCTTCTCTCACTGTGTCTGTGTGGCAAACACCCCGGGGCTCCTGTGGTTTTTGAAGTGTATTTGCATGATACTGTATAATGAGCGATTACATTGTTTTGTAGTTGTTTGAAGGAGGTCACAATAATGTTTTGGTTTTTCTTCTTTTTCTTTTTTTGTGGTGGTTGTAATAGTTTTAGTCATTTTGGGATCAGCTGCCATGCAAAAGGAAGAAATCTATCTGAGAAAGAAGCACCTAATTGTGACAAATTGCAGGAAGACTTTAGATGTGGTGTAATACCTTATTTTCCTGTACATTCCTCTCTAGAAGGGGGGAGAGGTCTGTATTTTTATTTCTGTCTCTGTGTATTTGGCTTCTGAGGTCTGAGCACAGAAAAAGATTGTGGAGATGGAAGTAAAGAATTTTTCATTAATGAGTAAGACTAAACCATTTCAGACATCTCTATCATTGCGATAGCAGTGCTCTTCCTATTCTTGACTAGGACTTCGGACAAATCAAACAGGAAATACCTTATAGGACTTAATTTTTAAGAAGTTTTTGAAAACTGTTTGCTTATTGCCCAGTGCAAAATTAATCAACAAAGCTTTTTAGTACATACTTAATCAGACCAGATGTTGAAGTGTCCATGTTTCTGTGGCTCACATGCTTCATCCTCACTTTGTACCACGGTGATAAACAGGCAGGATACATTACCCTCCTCTGCTTACTCTTTGAAATTGAAGCAGTCCCACCTTCAGTAATGCAAAATGACACTAAGGGAGGGAAGGAGCAAAATGTCCTTCAACACATGCAGAAAGCTTCTACCAGAGCCTGCCAGTGACATGGGTAATGTAGAATGCTTACAAAGGTGTAGAAGAAATGCTATTTCTTCTGTAAAGCTGGCGATGATGCACAGCCCCTGCTATAGGTGGAGGAAGGGAGCTGGTTGAAAGTTTGGAAAGAGCAACCAGCAGGAAGGGAAATTGGGATTGTGTGCCTGAAACTTCTGAGCTGCTGAAGATAGAAGGAGCCTTATGCAGGGGTTGCATGGAACAAAGGGAGGAAGATTGATTGCAGCACAGATAGTTATAGGAGAGTGGGTTGGAGGAGCCCTTGTATTTGAAAAAAAGACAATGGGGATACTCAGAACTAAGTTTAGAGTTTAGAAGTTTAGAGCAGGGGAATGGAAAGGAGGTTATTACAAAGAAGAGGAGGGAAGGTGGACCACAGAAAACTTGCAGGAGAAAAAGACAAGAAGTCTTGGTACGTGCAAGAAACTCAACCAGTTGAAACACACAGCTCTGAAGTTTCTATGCCCTTTCTTCTACAAACACTGCTCCTCATAATGTTAATAGTCTGTGAATTGCTATGGATTTGCTTTAAATGTTTTTGGAAGATACAGAGATATATTTCTGGACTGAATGTCAGAATCAGGGCCTTAGATAACATGAACATGTTTGTAGCATGCATTGGGTTGCTCCTCTCTTTGTTGGCAAGGCTGGTTAGCCGACCTCAGGGCAGGCACGTTTATTTTGGGATGTGTTTGCCTTTGAGGCAAGCAACTTCTTTGAAAGAGTCTTTATATTTATAGACCCCACCTTAAGAGAGTGTAAGCATAGACCCATGACCTGTGACTTCTTTACAAAAGCGGGGAGCAGGGTGTTGCATCATTTAGCTTCATCTATTATCGTTGAAGACAAAGAGGTACCTGCACAAGGCGCTTGCTCTCCCCTGGCCACAAGCTGAGAGACTGGCCATTGGGATCACACAGGGAACCTCAGAGCCTCTTAACGAGGCTAATACAGTTGCCCATGCAGGATGGTTTGAATATCCCTCCAATTGCTGTCATTAGCACTGAAATTTCAAAACACATGGTTGCTGCAGGACTTGCTTTTTAAAAGAGTGTCTGAAAGAAGTTTAAATGTATAGTTTATAGACCTATTTCAGATCTGTTAAACTCTGTAAATCCAGAGTAAAGTTAATTTTGTTGTAGTAGCTGAGAAAGCAAGATTCACAGCAATACAAAATCAGTACAGTTTTACAGAAGCCAATATATTTATTTCTGTTAATAGCACAGGCCTCTGAGGGTTTGGCTACTTTTCTTTAGTAATTAACAGAGACGGTAGGAGATGAGGAGAGAGTGTTCATACCACCCAAATTTAATCTCCCAGCATCTCTCTGAAGCTGATTAAGAGTAATAGACTCCTCCAGAAGGTGGTTCAAAGCACCTATATTAATTATTTTATATATTTGTGGATAGCTAAATCAAGGTTGCTATGCAAAAGCACCCTTGCATTGATTATCATTAGAGTTGCTGCTAGAGTAGAGCAGAGCCCTGAGAAGTTACGTGCAGGAAAGAGGAAACTTTGGCAAACAAGGACTAATATGAAAAGCCCAGGCTTAGTATATTCTGTTTATGTACATTTTTTTGGTCTACATTTGGCTCAATATATAAGCCCCTGAGACAGGTGAAACAGAAGATTGAAAGTAAATCAGTACTAATCATTTTGGTCTAATGCCACTTGGAATCTGTCAGAAGCAGCATTTGGTCAAGTTTAATTTTTCTCTGAAATATTTGTATGGACTATGGTAAAAACAGATGGAATTTAAAATATACAAAGAGAAAGAAAATGACAAAAGGAGAAAGCAATGCATTGTATTGAAAAATAATTACTTTTAAGTTTGATTGCTTGGAATGGATTTCAAAAGCATGAAGTCAAAAGTGATGTATTTGTACTTTTTCACTTTAATTTCCATTATAGGTTTTCCTTTTCAGGGAACACATTTAATCTATAGAACAAATACACACTTAGTGCACTTAATATTAAGAATAATAATGATTAATGCAGAATTTTAGAAAATGTTATTATGGAAAAAAATTACAAGTGTCAGGCTTGATTGGCTGATGATTTTAGGGAGTATTTCTTTGAGCATGGGAACTCAACACAATTGAAAAGGTTTGGGGAGAGAAGGCTTCATAAGGGATGCTGTGCTGCTCCTGGGTGGCCATGTAGAATTCAGCTGTCCTGTTATTTAACTTCCAACTTCTGTCCTCTCAACAACTTGCTGCTTGACCCATTTGTAACAGGGAGCAAAATCTGCCCCTTCCATAAAGTGTCAGAGTTTTAGGATAAATTGTCAGATTATGCATTATTATGTTTATGTATATAGACATTAACATTGTATTCAACTCTTTTTAGGCCAAGGGCATATTCTTCACAGGTGAATTTGAGTCAAATCAGATGCTACTCTTTAGTAATGTTCATTTGTGCTCAGAAATCTTCAGAATAGGGTATTTCTATTTATTTACATTTTCAAGATGTAATTGCTAATTTTGAGACACTGGTAGGTTTTGCTGTCCTAACTTTGAACAATTTAATAACAAATTGAGAACAACTTAAAAACAGTTTGAAAAGTTACACTAGGTAAGCTATTTGAAATCCTAAATTCAGATTTAATGTGGTGATCAAAGAAGATTATTTATGGTATATTTTACTTCGGAGCTTTAATGTTTAGAATTTCCTCCAGTTTTACAGTTGTCCAGTATTGTATCAGCAAAGTTTTTCCCTCTGCATTTTTTAAGAGAACCTTTTTCCATGGAGTAAGAACTCTTACTTTATATTTCTTGAGAATATGTATCTGAGACACATCAGCATTAAATTCATTATTAAGTTAATTTTATTATTAAATTATTTTGAAGTGCAGAAGTTCACAGTAGTCTGGTGCCACTAAATTATTTCAGCTCTTACTGTCGTTGTGGGTTGATAGATACATAGAAAATGTATTATCAGGTACATAGATGTTTCTCAAATAAAGCTTATTATTTACTGCGGTCTGTCCAAATATAGAGGCCTTTGTGGTAGTTCCATTGCATTTAATGTGCGAGGTGATTCTTCCCATTTCTATCTCAGTACCTTGCCAGAGTAAAACCTAAAAAGTTTAGGTTTGCGTTCGGGTGAGTTGCAACTGTTCAGAGGAATTTCTGTAAAAACATACCCATAACAGATGAAAAATATGGTACCTTTTATTAACACTTTCACACAAATAGTAATTAACATAAATTATGACAGAGCTATTTGAAAAAAATACCCTAAACAATTAGATTTCAGTAATATGTTAAAACAACCAACTACTCTTTGGAAAAGTCACAGTTATATGCTATAAATGTGTTTCTTGCACATGGCATAACTTCTTTGGGACTCTGCATGGACAAAGTCAGTGTATTTGTTTGTAAGGCTGGAGTCTAAAGCAGTGGTTGAACTGAAGATGCAGCAGTAGATGATGTTAACTTTTGAAAAAGTAGTGACAGACAAAAAGGCATATGAGGCCGAGGGTTAATTAAAAGATTCCAACTGTATCTACAAGTTGATCTGTGAAGAAGTTGAATGGATTCCCATGCATTTGTGTATTCACATCAAATAATTTTTTTACTGCTTATTACTGCAAGGTGTGGATTTTATTTATTGTTTTGCCAAAAGCACGCACACCCAAGAGAGAGATACTCCTGCTTGAATTAAAAAGTAACTTGTCTACCATCTGTTAGCAAGGCTTGAGTTTATCTGTGCCGAAGCCCTACACTTAATGTTGCCTTTTTTGGATCGCTCAAGATTTCAGTGAGCCAAGACCAAGCTAAAAGCATGGGCTCCCTCTGCTGGCCGCCGGCCTTGCTCTGAGCCCTTCTCCAGGAGAGTCAGCAGGCGCTCTTGACAGTACAATTGAAAAGACAGCAGTTGCAGCTTATTTTAAACAGTTTTAAAAGTTCTCTGAGGCAGAAATATAATCAAGCCATCTAATAAAATAGGTTTAGTCTAGCCTTTTGAATAAACAGTAACATAAAACTTTCGGTTGAGATGTCCAGACGCTCTGAAGTAATAATAGTTTTATGGTGAAAGAGCATCAGACAGACCGGAAGAGAAAATACCAGGCAGAAACAAGATTTTACTTTCTGTGATATCAGGTACTGAAAGAGATGGGGGGAGTGGAGAAGTGAGGATGTATTTCTAACCAATCCCAACTCCTTTGTAAAACTCAGCAGAAGACTAATAATCCATCTCTTTCTTCTTTTTAGCTGTTCACAGATTCAGGGCCATAATTTATTTCAATATCTTTTGATTTCTTTTCAGATCTCAACTGGATAAAGTCTTGAGCAGCTTGATCTGAAGTTGGTCCTTGATCTGGAAGTTGAAACAGATAACCTCTGTAAGTTCCTTTCAGCATACTTTGTTCTACGTTTCTGTCCTAAATGTGAGAGAAAGGTTAAACTTAGGAAAACGAGTTTGTATAACGTAGCCTTTAACTTCATGTTCATCCTGAAAGGCCTGTTATATTCCATGGTAGAAAATGGCATTCTGCATGTGTAAAGAGAGGGGCCTGGATCCACTTTCTGAAGTTTCCCTCTTTGCATACCAGCAGGCCTTTGCAAGAGGAGAGGTGTAACACAAGTGCAGATCAGGAAGCTCCTCAGGCATTAAGGAAAATGGCTGTGTGTCCCCTGTACCAACTAATAGCTATTAGTAAAGCTGTGAAAAACTACATACAGCTCATTTCAAAAGGAATCCTGGGCACATCTCTTAGAGTGAGGGCTCAGGTGACAGTCTCTGAAATGCCTGTACAATGAGGGAAGGCTGCACAGGCTATAGTAAAGTAAGAGAATGTTTTTAACTGCTCTGTGTTGTGGCCAACTGTTAGAACAGAGCTGCCTGGCACAGCCAGTCGCTGCATGGGAGAGAGAGTGGATGAATGTGAACTCTCCATCCTTCCCCAAAGTACTGAACAGCAGTATGTAGGTTATATGGAGAAGAAGTTTACAGTGCCAGAGGAAAGCAGGAAAACATACAGTATTCACAACAGAGAGAGGCTTCTTTAGAAGATGGTTCAGAGCAGAAGCCATAAACTAGGCATTCTTGATTTTTTTCCCCCAGTACAGCTTTTCTCCTTCTATCAACAATGAAAGTAGCAGAACAAGTCTGGTCTTTGAAGGATAAACTTAGCCTTTGTGAATACTTCCTTCTCTTCCCTCACTCCAGGGTCCAGTGTGATTTTCTCAGTTCTTTAGACCATGGATGGATATGGATTTATACATGCTTTGTATTTTCTAGCACATTTTCAATATGCTGGAGAACAGATAATGCTGTTGATATGTTGATATGAATGCTTGGATTTTAAAGAAGTGATGTAAAACTATCAATAAGATTACTCTGCTCTCAGTTCTGAGTTTTATCCTATTTGATCCTATCACAAAATGCAAGAGAAGTCTTCCATATGCTGCCTAAAAAATCCTGGGAGAAGCATGCACTGTTCATTAAAATACAGTGTATAGTCTATGAAATCCATATTTTTTTTCCAACTTCATTTTGTATTAGGTGTATCAGCTTTACAAGCGTGAATTCTTTTAAAAGAATTTCTTCTGCACATTATGTTTGTCTGCTGTAATAATAACATGGGAGAATGTTTGCTGAAATGTGCTGAATCCCAGCCTGTAGCTTGTGCCTTTACAGTCATCAAGTAGGTGTTCCAATTTTTGAATAATAGCTTTTATGGAAGCAGGCGGGTGAACCAACACCACTGGCTTGCCTCAGAAACTTCAAAGGGAAGCTTTTTTTTTTTTTCAGAAGAGACAGAAAGGTCACATTTGGAGGTTGAAAGGGTGCACTGCAGCCTTTAGCCAAGACAAGGAGAATCAGCCGGTGTCTGAGAGATCTCTTCGTCATATTATTTAAATAGAAATACAAAGAAAATGTTCTTTAAGTTGTAAGTAGCATGGATAAAGTTACTTATAGGCAAAGTGGCTTTATTATTGTTTCCAGATGTAAATTTTGAAATGCAGAAAGGGCAGTTAGCATTTGGGTCCATTAAAAGCAATATAATTCAGCCTTATAGACTCTCTCTTGGATGAGAAAGGGAAGACAGGACTTAGAACCTAGTGCAGTTGAGGGCACTAGACATGGATGGAGCCATAATGTGGAGCTTGGGTAAGATATGTTACTTGAAAAGCTGCATCTGGACACATACACACACTAACACAAATAATTGGCAGTTATTTGATTATTTGAAGAAATCAGAAAAAAAATCCTCTCAATCTGATCTTTTTCTTGCAGCATCAAAACTAACATGCAGATAGGCGTTTTCAAAGGAGGCAAAGGGAGATACAGCTTCCCATTTCCCACTGAAATTCAGAGACTACTCCTCACCATGTGGGCAGCTCTGAGGACAATTACTGTGAATAAAGTAAAACTTCCCACTAAAAGTGTGAATAAAGTGCCCACTAAAAATGACACATTTTTCCTCCTATTGTTTTCTTGCGCTGTGTGCTGAGCTCTGGCAGCTTACTGTGCTGGCTCTAGGGATGAGTGTCCTCCCTACACAGTAGTGCTCGTGTAACCCAGAGGGCCGCAGGGCTCATGGTCTATAGTTATGGGCTCCTTAGGGTTCATGAAGGTGCTTGAGTAAGTAAGGAGCCCTGAAGGATAAAATCAAGCAGAAAGCAAGCCAGTGCAGGCCCACATGGGGCACCTGCACCACCAGACAGGCCTTGATAAGCAGCCTGCAGTCTGTCTGTCTGTCCTTCAGCCGTGTGTGAGCAGCAGGCAGACAGGAGCTGGAGCAGACAGAAGAGCTTACAGCTCTTCCAAAGGTAGCCTAGCCCTTGCTGGTATGTTTTAGCTGCTTTCGTCTTTCTGGAGAGCCAACAAATTTAGTGAGACTGATTTGGTTTATTGTCAGTCTTGCGTGATAACATTTCTAATGGAGCTCCAGCTGCGGAACATCTTTTACTGGTGAGGTTTATGAGTATAAAGTTGAGAAAGCCTATCTTGACTTCTACATTTCAGGCCTAGTGTGGAGGGTTGGCATTTATGAAAGGAAGCACAAGCATATTTTAACTTATAAACTGAATAGAATTGATACAAAACCTATGAGATCACTGGGAAACAAAAATCTTGAAAGACCGCGGTTTTACCACGGAGTATTTTAGCACACAACTGCATAGTGAGATGATAGGTTTTATTCTGTGAATTCCTTCAGGACACTGACTGTATCTTTCTCACTAAGGAATATATAGGACTCAATTCTTCTGTGACTGTACACTCAAAATTGCTGTAGGTTTCAAGGGGGTGCCACACGTGGAACTGAGTAATGCAAATTTTAGGACCCTTGTAAAAAGATCTCTGCTGAAGCGTTCCAGCTTTTAAAGTTTGTCCCTTGTTTCTGCACATAAATTTCTATGAAGGCAGATTTTGTCTGTAAATGGATGCAGCCAAATGTGTAGGTGATGCATATACATTACTTAACCAAAATAAAATTTTCATGAGTAGAATTTATTTTCGCTTTTCTTTATCCTGACAATGTTACTGTTTTAAAAACATTTAACCAAAAAGCACAAACTGCACTTCACATAAAACCCTCAGGAAGTGCAATAATACACCACAGGACAAGAGAATAAAAATCATCAATTAATAATTCATAACATTTCAGTAGCAATAGTAATATCTGCTACTGAATTAATAGACCAAGCAACTTTACAAAAAACATAACAAAAAGATTACACCATCACTGGCTCTCCTGCAATAATGTTTCCTTGGATGACCTTCAGTGTGGGATTTTCACAAGGCAAGCCAGAGGTCATGACAGACCCGACTCCATCCTTTCACCGTTTGTTCTATGCAATCAGAAACAGAAATCTTCCATTTCTTAATTAAAATATGATTTTGCTGTTAACATAAATCCCACTGAAGTTGGTGGAAAGTTTCACACTGAATTCAACTGGTCCCTCAGTCACCCAGTATCTGTCTGTTTTCTCGAAATAAAGCTATGTTTGAGGATGCAATTGCGGCACTTGCTGGTGCAAGAGTTAGGCTCATAAAATATATGACTATCAGGCTTCACCTTATGAAAATCTGGCCTACAATGCAAACGGATAGGGAAACTTAAAGGCACATAACACTCTTCTGATTTAAAGATGACCATGCATAACTCATTTGTGGCTTTACTTCAATCGACACCCTGCACTTTTGTGCATAAAGTCATCCAAGAGTCACAACTAAAAGGGGCATATTCTAGGGGGCCACAATTCCTTTGACGCCTCTTTAAAGTTAAATGATAAATATAAATCGCAACTGAGAGAATCTGGTAAACCTGATGCAAAAATATCTAGCCTGCCGCACTCTACTAAGTACCTTCAGATGGCAATAGGCATTTCTGGAATTAAATCTTTCTAAACTAAGCTATTTTGCATTACCAGCACTTAGCTCCCTAAGCTGAAGTTGAAGATTGCTGAAACTGCATTGAAATGAGGTACCTAATTCCTGGAGAAGCAGCCAAAAAAGCTATTTTCCACCATTACTTACATCTGGTGCTGCCTAAAATTCCTTCAGTGTGACCCTGATTGCCCCTGTGGCTGTCCCCGGGCCCATGCAGAAGTGCCCCCAAGGTGGATAAGACGGCCCTCTTCTCCCACCTGAGTTCTGCTGGGTTGCAGGAGTTTGCAATGCCTCCCCCATCCAAAGCTAGCCTCAAATTTGCACTCTAAGGCAATGCCAGTGCCAATGAACCATTTGCATCACAGCATTTAGCTGGGAGGTACCCCACCTGGAGTACTGTGTCCAGCTTTGGAGTCCTTGGCACTGGAGTGACATGGGCCTCTTGGAATGGGTCTGGAGGAGGGCCACAAAGACTATCATAGGGCTGGGGCACCTCTGCTACGAGGGCAGGCTGAGGGAGTTGGGATTGTTCAGCCTGGAGAAGACAAGGCTCCGGGGAGACCTTAGAGCAGCCTTCCAGCACCTGAAGGGGGCCTACAGGAGAGATGGGGAGGGACTCTTTATCAGGGAGTGGAGCAATAGGATGAGGGGTAATGGTTTTAAACCGAAAGAGCGGAAATTTACATCAGATATTAGGACAAAATTATTTATTGTGAGGGTGGTGAGGCTGCCCAGAGAAGCTGTAGATACCCCATCCCTGGAAGTGTTTAAGGCCAGGCTGGATGGGGCTTTGAGCAACCTGGTCTAGTGGGAGGTGTCCTTGCCCGTGGCAGGGAAGGTGGAACTAGATGATCTTTAAGATGATCTTCCAACCCAACCCATTCTATGATTCTATGAAGTGAGAAGGAACTCCAGGTTCTCTGGAGTCACTGGCTGTCACTTCTCATAGTGCTGCAGCTCCAACTGCAGTGCTCGATGAGAAGAGTCCTTTTGTTAAACCTG